ATTTCTGTTATGATTTTTTCAATTTCAGTATAACTAGTTGGAGTAAGAAATATACTATTAGGGTTATGCTTAACATTTTTGTTTATGTCAATCGGTATTTTATCAATTTTATTAGCTAATTCAACTCCAATATTACTGAAGAAAGTTATAAACTCATCAGCAATAACCTGGTGATCGGATAGGATTTCATCATTACATACTAGATAATCCAGTACTGGCGTTACTTTAGTTTTTTACCTATTTTCGTGTTAACGTATTGCCACATTTTTTTTACTATCTTTGGATTTTTATTTTTTTTTTCTTTTTTTATCACTCAAACTTGCACTGTTTAATTTAAATGAATCAAGAAATTACGTTAACTTCGGCATAACCCATTTCAAATTTCATGAAAATATCTCGTTAAATGAAAAAGTTCCCCATATAAGAACTTGATTCCGATCGTCCAGTTTGTATGGCAGCTCTATGCTATTATAGCAAATGCTCAGCTTCTTGAGGACAGAGGAACTTGTGAAAATTTCAGATCGATATCTCATAAACTGATTAACTAATTCGCGTATATATGTTACAGGCAGACAGACGGGCATGGCTAAATGTAGTATATATATATTATATAGATCTTTTATAATTATTTTTTATAGGTTCTTTCTGGGCATTACAAACTTCGTGGCAAACTGAATATACCATGTTCAGATTATAAATATCCATTTAATTTGTTTATAATTCAACTATTTTCATTTTATTTTGACAATGTCATTTAAATCAACAAATTTATGTTAAATAATTTATATTTTGACAAAAATGGGTGTCGACGGGGTGGCGAGAATCCAATCACGCGAAACGACTTCCGGGTGCTACCGATCGAATCGGTGACTAATCGAATAAAGTCGTAGGCATTGGATCACTATTTTATCGAGTGAAATGTACGAGCGATGATCCCATATCTTTTTTACTTGCATGTGTGGGTAGTATTGAGTGTGGGGATATGATGCGGGGTCAATTAGCCACTTATAATTCTCATAATTTCATTCCTCTCGTATTTCGACTCATGTCATAAAATATGCAGTGAAGTGTAATCCTTTGCACTTTGTAATTTTTTCAATATTCCTATTGAGATCATAATTTAACAAAACAGGCTTCTTCTATGTTCAGCTACGTTCAGCTGTTGCGCAATGGGTGTAAATGTGGTCTCTAGTTAAGGACTAAAAACAGTCACAGGCAACAGAAGTATTTTTTGGAGTGAGACCTCACGTAAACTTCAAAATACAAAGTGTTATAATCCCAGCAGAGCTTCCCAAACAAATACAGCGCCACAGCTACGCAAAAAAAGGTAATAAATCTGCATGCTTTCTAAATAATTAACGCGTACAATGGCGGCTTTTGCTCGGACATGTTCAGACTAAGTGAAAAATTGTTGACCATTTACAATGATGACAACATACAGCGGTGTTAGGCCCATAAGAATGCATACACACAAACGGACATAGTTGGAGACAAATGTGAGGGTCTCTGTGCGCCGCACTAGCTTTGCTCTGAGTTTATTTCTCTGAGGCGCCTTTTTGCCTTGCTTGCAAACGCAAAGCGTACTAAGGACATTTTGTTATTTTTGTAATGTTGTTGTTGGTGTTATTACATTAAGCGATCTGCTGCTTTATTGCCATCTTTGCAATAGGTTCTCGTTAGCTTTCCGCTTCATTGTTTTGTAATTGTTGTTTTTGTTTGTTGTTGTGTATTTTCACTGTTTATTTGTTATTGTACAAGTAGTCCACTGACCATTGTTGTCATTCTAATCCACAAACCCAGTGTATGAAATGTTGCTAAAGCTGTGCGGCAGTGGCATTGTGCTACCTTTGTTATTTTTTTTTTCGTTAATCCCTTAATTTTCCGTCCGTGGAATTAGAAAATATGTGTCACAAAAAGAAGATCTTTTTCCCTTAGCTAATAACGGTAAATTGCTCTCTTTCATATAGGATTTGGTTCCCTTTTAGGCTTCAAATGAGTAAAGTGAGTGGCTCTTCTAAGTTATGTGGCATCTCAATTGAGGGAAAGGACCTCATTGATTTACTGTCCTTTATAACAATTTTAAGTAATCTGAAATGTATTTTATTTTTGTAGGAAAATACTTAAGAAATTTTAATATTCTTGGGTTTAATTCGGATTAAAAAAAGCTTGAAATATTCGATTTTTTTCACGAGTTGCTGAACAATGATACCGATTAATTAGAAGAAAAAAATACAGAAATACCATAAAGAAAGTAGTTTTAAAGATGATTTCTTTTCTGCGGCTGCCTCGATCGGTTTAATATGTACGAGATTTCCATTACACTTGGAATCGATTTTTGTTATTATTGTTAGCTGAGGCGGTATTCTCCATAAAAGGTTGTGTCGGGACTATAGGTATTTCATATTGCCAAGATGAATAGATGGACAAATCCAAAATAAAATAATTTTGTTTGGTTGTTTGAAAAGATAGGCGCAGTTGGGCACCGAACTTAGGCTGTTATTAGGCCCATTGTGCCCAGAGGTGTATCCAATTATACCTGATCTAACAACTCAGTGGCTTTGGAAAGATACCTAATTTTTTTCATCCTCAACCGACAGAGGGCATTCGCAAAGGAAATGTTTCCATGTCTAATCATCTTCCCCTCATGCCCTGCATTCCGCCGAGTTCACTGTACCAATTTTCTGAAGCTGCGTCCCTTGGGGTAGGTGCCGTGGATGGTTCCCTTTCACCTAAAAGGGGAAGCTTTTTTATCTGTTCACTATCAACACTACTCCTGGTAAGCTCTGTATTGGTGGTGTTCCAAGACCTGAGGGCTACCTCTATGGTCCATTAGTTAAAGCAACCCATGAATGGGCTGAATGGTCTAGAGCAGCTTAGGGGAATTGTGTTCCTAGCTGCCCTCAACCGAGTCAACTCGTCTCTTTTTTCATTTCCTCCTACTCCTGTTCCTATATGACTGGAACCAAATAATATTTACCGTGTTTTCCACTGAGAGTCTAGTTATTGCTTCCTTTAACAAAGTATTAAGACTTAGTGTAAGCCCTATAGATTGTATTAATTGACCTTTTGCTTTCCACTACATTCTAGGGTCTAGAAGGTTTATGGACTTGCTGGTTAGAGCTGAAGCCTACTTGGCATCTTCTGTTATACCAACAATATTGGCCTGAAAGACTAAATTGGAATCAATTAATTTGAAGCTCTTGTACCTTCTGCGTATAGATTACTACAGAAGAAGCCTGCTTCTGTTCCTATTTCACCCTTTAATCCGTCGTTGGAACTGTCGATCACACAACCAATGATCTAATCTTTTCTACTTTGGAATTAAAATGTTGTGTTTAGGTTCCAACGGTCTTAAATCATATTTCACTTAAATGTCTTTTGGCCGGATATAGAGGATAACCTCCAGAGGTTACCACCGTAGTCTCCAGGAAGCAGGCCTGTTGTCCCTGTTCTAGGGGTTTAGTTCGGAACTTTTTCGATATTGAGATTCGATAGCCAAGAGACCAATTGGGGTCATAAACCACACTTTGGGACAATGGCTCTTCTACAGGAGTTTCAAATTCAAAGGGCTTTGGTTGCCCTGCTTTCAATGTGTTCTCTCCAGCTTAGTTCTTTATCCACGATAACCCCGAGATATTTGACAGAGATTGAAGAGTAATAGTTCTACCCCTTAAAGAGGGGGAATTGGATTGCAAAATTTTTGGCCTTCTTGTAAAAAGACCGATTTCTTGAGACTTTCCAAATTTTTGTGGGGTGTTCTACAAGTCATGTTCTCCAACCCTGACAACAAACTTTAGTCCAATGGATTCACATCTAGACTTCTAGATGACCAATCAACTGCAGCTATGAAACAAGGAAATTGCTTTGAAGCCACTGCTAAGTGGTTTCCGCCTTGTATGCTATCGAAGAGAGTATCGCCTTACTGCTTTATCACGTCGTCTACAACAACAACAGTGTTAACTTCGTTTTCACAGAAGTGAAGAGGTGTAACGTCTTTACAGGATACTCCCCACCAAATCATTTCAGCAACTGGATGGTGACTGTGTTAAGACCTGAGATTACAGTTTTTAGAAGGTTTTGCGCAGTTTTTGCAATTTGCATCTTGCCTAATTTGCTTCATGCGCGTTGTCAGAAGATGATCAGTTGGCCGTCGGTAAACTTTCATATGGAGATCATTTCGAATAAGCACTAACATTGACCTGGTAGATCGGGTATCTATTTCCTTTGTCATAATTTTCTGGTTTCTAAGGGGTCCTCTGCAAATGCGTTCACGAACCATTTATGGTTGATAGGTTCGAACCACGCGAGGACGTTTACTTTTATTTTTGTCATTAACTGTAGGCGTTTCGGATCGAAATATTAGGTAGGAGAGCTTATACATTTCACCTGCGCGTTTGTAAAGCGATCACCGTAATACGTTTTTCTTTCGCTCCCCACTACATTGCTAATAAGCGAAAGCAAACACTGAACTGATTACTATATATGAGTAGGCACAGCACAAAAATTATGTATAATACAAAATAACGGCACTTTCATCTGCGAATAGATCCTCACTGTATGTATTGCACACTTTGTAATAGAATTTATGGCAAGACTAAGTACATTCTCGATCGTATATGGATTGTTTATTCCGGATGACTTAACTACGCCAGCAGGTTCTGATAAATGGCAAAAGAAGCGTTAATCGATAACAGTGTATCTGTATTAGAGTTGTTGAATTCACCTTCCACGTCAATGAATATCGCCAGGGTTCTGTTTTTCTAAGGAACTTACGATTGACCCAAGTACATCATGTAGAGCTGTATCAACCGATTTACCTTTGACGTACGCGTGCTGCGTGAAGGCCAAAGGGTTGGAATTTTAAACTGATCGGCCTATAAGCTTTTAGCAGGTAGTTATTTTCCTTTACCGGTTGAGGTATTAAGATAACTTTGGCCTCCTGCCTCTCTACTGGCTGCTTCAAAAGGTTTGAAACTATTAAAAGCTTAGGTAATCATTTCTTAGGTGAACACGTGACCGTCATCTTGATTGGAGAGTATGGCAGCTTGAGAGTGTCGCGTATTAGAGTATATAATAATATTACTATTGAATCCCCCAGTTAAGTAGTCATGGTTGTATGGCTATTATTCGATAACATGTTTTTAAATTTTGCCGTTTCACTTACGCTGCCTACTTTATCACAGAACAAATGCCAAGAGTTGCATTTGTTTGTATATAATTACGCTAACAAAAAAGTTGGAAAGGAGAAGACGTGCAGAAGTGCACAACGTTATTTTTCGATATACGTGTACGGGAACACAGTAACACACACTTAACACTGCCGAATACAAAAGTACATTTCGTCGCTGTTCTGTATAAGTTGCAAACACATATATCGGATAGTTGTGTTTCGTTTACGGCGGATTTGTGGTTACGATTTTTTCCATTTTTAATTGTGTTTTGACTTTGGGTGTTGCAAGACTGAATTCTGATGCAATTAAATTTTTAACGCCATATAAATTTCAAGTATTGTTTGTGAAAAAGAAACACATTGAAGTGGAAATAACCTTTCGTTCCGTACAATCCATATTTGCTTGGAAAATATAATTGTCTACTTAATGCCGAAGTGTGTACTTCCGTTAAAAGTATTACAAAGTATGGCAAAAGGCGCTCGAGGACTGCCGCGGTAAAGCTATTGCATAGCATGTTTTATCAACATATGCATTTATATGATAATTATTTATTTATTTTATATGCAGTATTTTTTCTTTGATATTAATTCAAGTTTTTTCTTTGATATTAATTCAAGTAACACTTTTTGTGACCGATAATAAAACAATTTTTTTTTTCTTTTATGGAATAAATGAAAAGTTAATACTGTTTAAACTATTTTTATTATCTTACAATACATGTAGGTTATTTAGGAATTTTTATCATTGCAAAAGAATTTGGTATGACGCGAAGAAATGCGAGATTTGTTTCCAAACAATTATTTATACAATATATTCTTCAGATTGAATGAACTCTTTCGTAATTGAAGTACCTTGTCCCACATGCTTAAACGCAACGTTGACACATCTACTAACTAGCAACCTCATGATTTTAGCAGCGATATATAAAAGGTGTTGTGGGTCAGTAGCACGCCTATCACCGACCGCAGTGAATTGTCGGTAAAGATAGTTCTTCCCCATGTTCATCCATTAAAATACTGACTGGCCTGTTATATTCACCAGGTGCTAGACTCAAAATCAAAATCAAAGTAGATATCCACGTAAGATTTTTCTGCATTAAGTTGACGAAATTTCCTTTGACGTTCAGCATTTGATTTTGGTACTGTTTCGTTTTTTTACTTTTTATACTCTCGCAACTTGTTGCTACAGAGTATAATAGTTTTGTTCACCTAACGGTTGTTTGTATCACCTAAAACTAATAAAGTTAGGTATAAGGTTATATATATATAAATGATCAGGATGAAGAGACGAGTTGAAATCCGGGAGACTGTCTGTCCGTCTGTCCGTCCGGCCGTGCAAGCTGTAACTTGATGACACAGGTTTCTTGGTACAGTAACACACGCCCACAAAACGCCATTAATCAAAAACAAATAAATTGCCATAACTAAGCTCCGCAATAAGATACAAGACTGTTATTTGGTAGAAAGGATCACATTAGGGAGGGGCTTCTGCAGTTAAATTTATTTTTAAAAATTGGGCGTGGTCCCGCCCCTAACAAGTTTAATGTGCATATCCTGAACCGCTAATGCTATAATAACCAGATTCACTAAGAGCAAATGCTTTTAGCATCTCTATTGACGGTGTGAAAATGGGTGAAATCGAGTGTCAAGCCCGCCCACTCCCCATATAACGGTACTGTTAAAAAATACTAAAAGCGCGATAAACCAAGCACTAAACACGCCAGAGACATTAAATTTTATATCTGGGATGGTATGAGATGACTTTATAGGAACCGCGTTCAAAATTAGTCAGTGAGCGTGGCACAGGTGAAAACCCATATCTTGGGATCTGCTTAACCAATTTCAACCAAATTCGGTGCATAACGTTCCTTTCATATTTTTATGTTATAGTGCGAAAATGGGCGAAATCGGACTACAACTACGCCTATTTTCAATGTAACACCATTTTCAATTCCATCCGATTCTTTCACTTTCCACTATGCATATCATGCAACAATGACTATATCGGGGTCAAAACTTTGCGTGAATAATACGTTTAAAGTATGCCACCTTGTGACCGAAAATTGTCTAAACTGAACCAAAACTGTTCAAGCCCCTAAGTTCTAAATATGTGGACCCCAGTGCCTATAGATAGATAGATAGTGATTGAGGTATGCACCGCGACCTATGGTCTATTGTGCCCTCCCTTAAGTCACAGCGACTCATCTAGCCCTAGCGTATTGATGAATTCCAATATACTGCTAGGCGCCAATGAGGCGATGCGATCCCTGTTTGGAAACATGGATCCCAGGGCCTTGACTCTACGTCTACAGACAGCTGTGCAGTCCATTAGTAGGTGTTCTGGGGTTTCCGACTCCATGTCGCAGAACCGGCAGTTTGCAGAGGAGACCAAGCCCATGTTAAATAAATGCTTGTTAAGCCTGCAATGTCCGGTGTAGAACGCGACCAGAAGTCGAAATTTGTTCCTCGGGAGATTGATTACGGTTTTAAACCGTCTTGAGAGCTTGGTGCGTGGTCCTGCGACCCCTGTGCCAATCCCCTCCGCCGTTTTCGAGCCGTACCGTTTTCGAGCCGTGTACCACTTGATAGTACTGTTCTTTAGTAGTAGGTCCAGCGTGGAATCGTTCCATTCTGCCTTGCTACCAAGGGTGACCCTGAACTTCCTAGTGAAGCTTACTGTTTTGGTGATGCTGTCGCTTGGAAGAAGGGCCAGTCGCATTGCGTCACTTAAGGCTTTCATCTGCTGGGACGAGATTACCTTACCTTGGCCAGACCCTTCTGCTGAAATTTGAAGCAAGGTCTGTTTGGCCGTCTGCTCGATCACTATATGTAGCGGTATTAGCTCCAGCATTACTTCCAGTGCTGCAGTCGCACACGTACGCATCGCGCCCGACGCGCAGATACATGCAAGTCGTTGCAGCCTCGATAGTCGAAGTCCTACCGAGGTCTGCACTGCTTTGGAACCCCAGGCTACCGCTCCATATGTTATGATCGGTCTAACAATCATGGTATACAACCATCTGATAATCTTTGGGTTGCAGCCCCATGATTTCCCAGCAAGTCGATTGCACACCATGAGCGCTTTCGTAGCTTTGGCTGCGGTTAGGTCCACATGCTAATTCCACCGTAGAGTGGAGTCCAGCGTGAGGCCCAGGTACTTTACCGTGCTGGCCATCTCCAGCTCCGTTCCACCTAGGGATAGGTTTCTGATGCCTGGCAGCATCCTACGTCTGGGAAACGGTATGATTGTAGTTTTGGAGGGGTTGATGTTTAGGCCAACCCCACTACACCATTCCTTTGCCAGCCTTAATCCCCTTTGTACAATATCGCAGAGGGTGTCTGCGAATTTACCCCTAGCTAATATAACAATGTCATCCGCATATCCCTGACAGCGGATTCCGTTGCTCGTTAGCAGCTCGAGAAGATCGTCTACAACTAGGCTCCTGTGGGCAGCCTCTTGTTGTGCCAAGGCGAATCTTCGTGTCGCCTACTGTGGTTTCGGAAATCCTGGTGCTCAGTACTGCTTCAATCCATCTGCGCACCGGCATCGCCACACCCCTTTTCTCCAGGGCCTTTGACACGCTCTCGTGTGACGTACTGTCAAAGGCACCTTCGATGTCAAGGAAGGCGCATAACAGCACCTCACCCCCGTCAAACGAACTTCGGATCTCTGATGTCAGCTGATACAGAGCAGTATTGGTTGATCTGCCTGCTCTGTAAGCATGCTGCGTCGCGTGTAGCGGTGCAGCTTTCAGCACCTTCGATCTAATTTCGTGGTCTATGATCTTTTCCATGCTTTTCAGTAGGAAGGAAGTTAGACTTATTGGTCTGAAGGATTTTGCCAACGAGTAGTCTTTCCTTCCTACTTTGGGTATGACGATCACCTTCGCAGTGCGCCAGGGTTCCGGGATATACGCCAGCGCCAGGCTATCCCTCATCAGCCGAACAAGGTGGGGCAGGAGGACCTGCCCCCCCTGTTGCATGAAGGCTGGAAGGATGCCATCCGCACCCGGAGACTTATATTTTTCGAAAGAGGCCACAGCCCACCTAATGGAGTCCGCCGTGAAGAGCTGTTTTGCGGCTGTCCAATCTAGGCGAGTTGGCTTTCGTTCGACTCTTGGTCGAATTAGGTCCTCTCGAATTGTTTCCGGGAAGTGCGCACGTAGAAGGGTCGTGGCTCTTTCTTCCGCGCTGGACGTATAGGTCCCATCCGGTCTTTTAATTGCTAGAACTGTGCCGGTCTTGCCCCTAGCCAGAGCATTATGCAGCCTTGCAGCCTCTGTCGTTGAGGAGACACTTTCACAGAAATTTCTGAAGCTCTTCTGCTTTGCTGACCTGATCTCCTTGTTGTAAGCAGTTAGGCCGCACCTATAGTTCTCCCAGTCCCCGGTACGCTTAGCCCTGTTAAATAGCTTGCGTACCGTTTTCCTTAGGTCTGAGAGCCTGCTTGACCACCAGGGACAGCTGCGGTTCTTGGTGGTCGTCTTTAGGGGGCAGCTACTGTTGTATGCTTCTATAATGGACTGATTTAGCGCAGACAATCTGCTCTCCAGTCCAGAAGCAGTGGCACTGCCGTCAAGCTGCCCCCTCCTATTGAGATTTATTTCAAGCGTATCCTTAAGGGTGGCCCAGTCCGTGTTTTTGGGGATACGCCTGGGAGGGGGTTGCCTAACCTCTACCCCTAGTGCGAACCTTATGATGCGGTGATCCGACATGGAGGGTTCCGATGACACTCTCCACTGCCCGATCAGCCCTGTCATGAGCTCGTTACCAAGGGTGATGTCAAGCACCTCCCTTCTTACGCTGGTTATAAAGGTGGCTTCGCACCCCACGTTTACAATACTTAGATTACTACTTACTATAAATTCAAGTAAAGACTCACCCCGTGCATTGCAGTCCGTGCTGCCCCATTCGGTGTGATGGGCGTTGGCATCACATCCCATGACAAGGGGTAGGTTGTTCCTCCTGCAGTAATCCACGAGGCTCCCGACGGCCTCTGGGGGTGCTGTCATCGTGTCTCCCGGAAAGTAGGCCGCTGCCAGGACGAAGTCCGCTCCTTCGTTACCTTTTGCCTGCACAGCGACCAGGTCTTGTGTTAGGAACTCTGAAATACAGAAGTAATCAATATCGTTCCTAATTACTATACAGGTTCTGGGTCTCTCGCTTGAGAGATCCCAGATTACCTTGCTATTCACCATTTTGAGGCCCCTGACCTCTCCTTTGTAGATCAATGGCTCCTGGATCAGTAGAATGCCCAGACCGTCCGCTGTGAACCTGCTCGCGATGACGGCCGAGGCCGACGCCGCGTGATGCAGGTTCACCTGGGCAATTTCAATATGTGGACCCATTAGAGGATCGGTTCCGTGTGGAGCTCCTCATCTTCACCGTCCTCCGCGTTTCCACCCGCTCCGGTCCCCTGTGCGTTGCTTCCTTTCTGTCGCTTGGTGTTTGGCGGCTCCTGTGGCGTTAATTGCCCACTCTTCCGCTTTGCGGCTTGGGTGGTCGAAGGCGCTGCTCTTTCGCAACCACGCCTTGCGGCCTGAGTTGCGTTAACCGGGCGTTGGCTTCGATTACCGCTGCTCTTTTTACTGCTCGTCGCGGTATTGCCACCCTTCCGCTTCTCCGAGACAGGGGAGGCATTGTTTCCTCTCACCCTGTTGCGCGCCAACTTTTCGGCTTCCTCCGGAGTCTTCCCCTCCTGGAGCTGCCTGAGGTACCATTTAAGGCTGGCACCGCTTATGCTTCTTCTCCTGAGATCGTAATGTCCGCCAGGACTCCCATTTGGTGGTAGAGGGGGTAGTCTGCCTCCCTCTTCCGCTTTCGTTTACGAACCTCCCCGGTTGATGCCCGTTCCGAGTCGCCTGAATCCGAGCAGGTGATCCTGCTCGGGGGAGCCTCTTTGGGGTTCGCTTTTTCAGCGCCGGCCGCAGTCAATTTCACCTGCTGAGCGCCGCTGCACGAGGGCATGTCGTCATCGTCCTCCCTTGCATGCTCCTCGAACAGCGCCCGCTCTTCTGGCGAAAGGGCGTCCAGGAAGCTAAACTTTTGTTTAGCCCCTGAAGCTCCCTTACCTGCACTGGCGCTGGTCTTCTTAGCCTTGTCCTTGTCCGTTTGCTGTTGTTGTTGCCCGTTTGTTTTCGTTGTTGAGTTATTTGTTTTTTGTTTTGTTGTCTCCATACTGTTTCTTACGACCTTAGGCTCGACATGGCGAGCCGTCCGGTCTGCGTTTTGTGAGGGGAACGCTAAAGTCCACCGCGCCAGAGCCCCATGACGCGGTAAGGCCACCGCTACTTCCCAATGCGGCCCGGTGTTGGGAAGGCTCCGTTAGAATACAGCCGAATTTACCTCCTGGCTGCAAATCATCCAATGGGCACGGGAGTCGCATAACACCCTGGATTAGGAGGTGGCAGCTCTTGGTTGTCGCACGCATGCGGCTTCTGACAACCCGTGTGAGAGGTGCTGGGCAGCACTTCTCGCATTGGTTGGGAGATGCCGAGAATGCCTTGCGACTTAAACCCCTGCACCACGGCAAGGTGCCTGCCATTCGCAGGAGTGCCTATAGTTGACCTTCTACCGAAAATATCAGTCAATCAAAATAAAAAAAATTAAAAGGGATTTGATACTTAAATAGGAAACATTCTACATAAGTTTCTTGTATAAAATTGTGCCAAATAGTCCCACTTTATGATTATTCAATCAAAAAATTTGAACAAAAAGAACGATATTAAAAGTGTGATCATCGAATTTCGCCTGCATTTGTGATGATAATAAAATGTACGTATGAATATGGAGTACTCACTAATTTTCTTTCACTATTTTTTCATAACTTTCTTCACTAATAATTTCACTTTGTTTATAGATATTTAAAACACTTTATGCAGAAATTTTACGCGGACTCCCCGACCAGGCTTTTCACATTTTGTTGAAATTCTTCAAGAAAATTTAAGTACTTTTGTTGAAAAATTTTATTTTCTATTGGTCAAATTTCGACCACTGGCGACATTAGTTCTATTAAATCGCTAAGCCTTGTTAAGGTTCCATTTCATCCATGGGTTTTTCTGTGGGGATACCCGCTTTTGGAACATACTATTTCAAAAGCACACATAAATAATGCATTGTGTGACTACTACTGAATCTATATCTGACGCAGAACTTATCGGGTTAGCTACTGACAGTGTGCCCATGAAGCGACTCAGTTTGGTCAAATATTTGTTCCAAATCATTTTGGTCCTGTTCCTATACATCGGTAGCTTTAGTCCTCCGATATTAACTTTGAAGTCGATGTACCCATTTGTGGTCGGAAAGGAACATATTTGGCCCATTTAAGATTCCTGTTTCTAATATGTTTGCCTGAAAAAGATGGTATTCTGATGGAGTCTGAGAGCTATCATTTAGTGATGTGTAAAATCAGAACGTTTCTAATCATCCCTGTAGGCTAATCATTGACATTTTTCTGCATTTTTGGACTTGGAAATAAACGTCAATATATTTTCAGAGTTGTTCCTTTGAAGAAATCTGTATTGTACCTTGCCTAAGTTTACCGAGTTTAATGGCAGATACATGTTCTTATGTTGACAACTTGAATGTTATCTCTCTTCCTCTCTCTGGTTTGATATCCCTCTGTCTGAAGTTCAAACTTTCTTAAAATTAAACCCCAATGAATTACTTTGCTCCTCTGGTTTGATATCGCTCTTTCTTTTCCCCTTTCTCTGGTTTGCAAATTTTCTTAAAATTATACCCTAATTAATTCCTTTGCTCCTTTCCTTGCTTTCTTCCGAAAACGTTGATAACATTTGTTTTGCAGGTCCGATAATAAGTAATATTCAAAAAATATTATAAAATATAACTAATCTGTCATTTAATTGCGGTATGCAGCAACATTTGTGTTCTCTTCTCATCTAACCAAGTTTTAAGAGTGAAATGTAAATGACGATTTTTAATGTCAACTTTTCCTAATGTCAAATCACGAAATTTGGTGTTTAGATGCGTTATAATCTTTATAGGAGCTATGTTATTACAAGTACACTTTGCAATTGGGTATTGAATCCGAAAAATGTTATACCCTGTTGAAAAGAGAGGAAATCGAGAATGGCGTCCAAATTTTTATTCTTTTAGGCTTTACATGCTTTATTTAATAATGACGTTTGATATAAGCTCAATAATTACTATATTTATACCCTGAACAGGGTATATTAAGTTTGCCACGAAGTTTGTAACACCCAGAAGGAAACGTCGTAAAATATATACATAAATGATCAGCATTATGAGCTGAGTTGATTTACCCATGTCCGTCTGTCTGTCCGTCCGTCTGTATATACACAAACTAGTCCCTCCGTTTTTAAGCTATCGACCTGAAATTTTGCACATGGCCTTTTCTCCCCAAGATGCTGCACATTTGTCGGAACGGTCAATATCGGACCACTATAGCATATAGCTGCCAATCAGAATCAAGTACTTGTATGGGAAACTTTTTTATTTGACGTAATATCTTCACGCAATTGTGCGTGGGTTATTGTCTAAGGCAATAATGCAATCCCCGAAGGAATTGTTCAGATCAGATCACTATATTATATAGCTACCTAGCAAATTAAATGATCCGAATCAAGTTCTGTGAACGGTATTATAGCTTCGGTGCAACCGAAGTTAACGTTTTTTTTGTTTTTTAAATTTCTATCTCTGATGAGTCCATGTGTGCTCCCTATGGAACTTTTATATATGTATAAAGTGACCAAATATATTTTACCCTTTTTATTGTATTATATATGGTTGTCATATATCTCCCTTCCGCTTTTTTGTCTTTTGAATTTCGCGGCTATGTACAAAGCGCTACAGAGCTCGTATCTGGCAACACTATACATAATTTGAAAGGTCTTGACATAACCTACAAAACAACGCTATGCATGATTAGTTTGGATATTGCGTTCAACAGTTATAGACGTGTAAACATGGAGTTCACTAACGCCGAAATTCGCGCTATTTTAAAGTTTTCCTTCGTTAAAGGCAAATCCGCTAGAGAAACGTTCCGTGAGATTAATGGTGTTTTGGGGGATGGTACTCTATCACTTCGAACCACGGAGGAATGGTTTCGACGATTCAGAGCCGGTGAAAACGACACCATGGATAAGCCAGCCGGCGGAAGACCTGTGACGACAAATACCGATCAAATCATGGAATACATCGAGTTAAACCGGCATATGGCATCTCGTGACATCACCCAGGAGATGGGAGTTAGTCACCAAACCATTTTGAACCATCTGCAGAAGGCTGGATACAAAAAAAGTTTGATGTTTGGGTGCCGCATAATTTGACGCAAAAAAAACCTTCTGGACCGAATCAACGTCTGCGATATGCTGCTGAAACGGAACGAACTCGTCCCATTCTTGAAGCGGATGGTGACTGTCGACGAAAAATGGATCACATACGACAATACCAAGCGAAAACGGTCGTGGTCGAAGGCCGGTGAATCGTCCCAAACAGTGGCCAAGCAGGGATTGACGGCCAGGAAGGTTTTGCTGTGTGTTTGGTGGGATTGGAAGGGAATCATCCACTATGAGCTGCTCCCATATGGCCAGACGCTTAATTCTACCATCTACTGCGAACAACTGGACCGCTTGAAGCAGACGATCGACCAGAAGCGTCCAGAATTGGCCAACAGGAAGGGTGTAGTGTTCCACCAGGACAACGCCAGACCACACACTTCGTTGATGACTCGTCAGAAGCTACGGGAGCTCGGATGGGAGGTTTTATCGCATCCACCATATAGCCCGGACGTAGCGCCAAGTGATTACCACCTGTTCCTGTCCATGTCGAATGCCCTTGGTGGTGTGAAGTTGAACTCAAAAGAGGCTTGTGAAAATCCGTGTCCGAATTCTTCGCAAATAAGGAGGGGGGCTTCTACGAGGAAGGTATTATGAAGTTGCCGTCTAGATGGAAACAGATCATCGAACAAAACGGCGCATATTTTAACTAAATCCGATCACTGTAACACTTTTTATGAAGCATTGAATGAAGAGCAAAAAAGCGGAAGGGAGATATATGACAACCTTATATTAATACTCCTCTCCAAATAAGAATCCCACCTTTCAATTTATTTTAATTATAAAAAAATGTATTTTATAAATTCAAAATTTTTACATGGCCAACTTATGAGCAAACTATTTACATTAATTGGAAAAATGCTTTTGACTTAAACTGAAAATCACTTAAACAATAATATATAGTTATGTGTATATAATGTTATTTAGCATTACTTTATATGATTAATTTAATTATTTATTTATATTTTATTCATTTATTTATACATTGCTAAATCGTTACTTAGTTATTATATACAGCATTTTCATTCAACTTAGTAAGCAGTATATTTTTTGGTTTTGTCAAATTTTGTTATATTGTCCATTTCATTTTATGTATGTATGTATGTTTTTTCGTTTACACGCGCACACACAAATATTTTTGCGCAGTTTATTGCCAATTGGTATACGTATTTTTAATTTGTGATGTAACTTAATGAATACAGAATCTTCACAATTCAATATAAAACTTGTATTATTGAAATAATTTTTAAGGAATTTTTATTCATTTTTAAATGAAACTATATATACGGTAAAATAATAAATCTGATATTATATATGTAATAGTTATATAAGTATTCATTCATTCAAAATAATTTCAGAAAGTTTGTTTAGTTTTTTGTTAGTGTAGTTTTCACTAGTCGCATTTTGGTCTATTTGTCTTAAATTTATTAAAAACTCATATGTATATTCATTCATATAAAAATAAATTTAGTAAAAAAGGTAACATCAAAGTCACCTACCACCAATGCATACACACACATTTTTTATATATTTTTATATATATATAATTTTACACGCATCTCTTAAAAAATAGTTTTTTTCTTTTGAAAATTTACACAAGGCAGTTCACTTAAAGATTCGCAGATGTTTCTACAATTAACTGAAAATCATTGTTTTCATAAATTAAATTTAAAATAGGCACACAAAATACTCTTAGTTATAAGCAATAAAAAAAATTCTAACCAAATGTGCAAAATTTTAGTTAAGAAAAATTAAATAACCTTAATTTTGGGAAATATTTTTTATTATTTAAACTCTTTTTCCAAAACATTTAAAATTAGGTCCATGGATGTATATTCTATAACTATTACTGAACGTCCTGTAGAAATTAAAAAGTTTACTTCCGCAAAATATACTTTTCCGGAATCTATTTCGTGTAGTAAAAAAATTTACTACCTTCCTCTTTCCAACCAATTATTTTATCTTTAATTTCCAATGGGTTTCATCCTGTTATGATTTTTTTTTGCTCTAAAAAAATTTCTATTCGGGTCTACAGGTTTTATATGAAAAAGTAACATAAACTCAGATGCAAACACCTATGTGGATTCCATTGCTCACTTTCTTTCGGCACACACTTCAGCTTGCCCGAAATCAGTACTGTTAATACCTTTTCTGTAAGTACTGTTTATGCAACGAGACACAATACGTCCTTCAATGAAGCAGTAACTTTAAAATAAGAATAAATTTAAATCACTTGCTCGCATAAACCCAAAATATTCATTTATGGACAAAAACTTAAACTTCTCTGTATTATATTTCTATTTGCTATGGCATGCCTGGACTTCTTAAAATTTGTAAAGAGAAGCATAGCTAAGAAAGGAAATTAACCTATACATAGGACCAGAACAAAATATTTCTAGATTCAGCAGTATTAACTCAATTGGGAATAAAAGTGATATTTTAATATATAGTTAACACTTTATATTGGTTTAGGACTAAACTATATAACCAATTAGTTAACAAAGTAGGCAAATTCAATTTATATTTATAAAATAGACTTTATTCTATTCTGAAGTGCTCAAAATATCAAAAATTGAAGGAAATACAAAATTTCTTCAAATGTAGCCTACAAAACGGCGCTATAAAAAAGCACATTTTCGGGATTCACCATAGAGCTACAAAAATAGTAAGTCCATCAAATATTAAATTTTCATCTTAATTTATTTTGTTGTTCACTCATGCTGCGCTTACACCTTTTCTCTTGTCATTTACAATATTTGTGTATATTTTATGAATATCAATTAGTGTTAACATTTCTTTAATATTATTTTGTATTTCTATAATGTGATTGCATTTAATTTAACTGCATAGTTATCGAAGATTTTTATGTTTATAATTTTAGTACTTTGTTCGTGATTTACTTATTGTAATTTAGCTATTATATAATATAACACTATACGTATCCCTTGTTTCATTTAATGTTGTGTCTTGTTACGCTTATGCAAATATATATATTTATATATACTTAAACGCTTAAGGTTAACAGGAAATTAGGTGTTCGAAAATGTCGAGATATTCCGAATAATAATGTCTAATGTTTGCGGTATTGTTTTTAATGGTATATGTACGTATGTATGCTTGTGTTTATAACTTAGATGCTAACAAATGTACCCTTGTTTCGATTCATCGCTGCTATGGTACGATTTTAGGTTCGTTTATACCATTATTGTTTTTGTTTTTATTTGCCCAATAATCGTCTTACTGCTTACACATATCAGTTTTTGCATTTGATTTAATTTCGTGTCATTAGTAGCAACTCCATTACATTCTTGCGTTTTCGTTTGCAACGCCAACTTTTGAGCCAGGCTCCGCTACTCTTCTTTTCCTCAACCTGCCCCATCACTACTTCGCCAATTTCCACGTTCTAAACTAATTTCATATAACTACTATAGTTGTTGTTGAGGCAATAACGTAGCTCGCCTTCGGCCTCTACGCCCTCGCACTCTTCGCTTGCACTGCCCTTTGTGCCGACGCCGCCGACTTGTCCGCCCGGGAGTCATACGTAGACCACATGCGGCTTAGCCGCTGTGCCACCAGTGCCAGCGCCACTCTTACCCATCAGCACCACACCATTACCGCTGTTGGTATTGCAACCATCACTGTTGGGCATAAGCGTTGCCTGCTTCGATTTGCTCAATGTTTGCATGTCTGGATAGTCGTAGTGGTCGAATTTCTCATACAAGTGCTCCGGTTCATCAGTGTAGGCATTCGCATCCTTTACTGGCGGCAACTCCCACGGCTTCAAGGCACGATACTCATTGGCGATCGCCTGCGCCGCTAGATATCGCTCCAATTCTAGTTTATCCACTTGCGCTGGCAGCGTTTGCTGATACTCATGCGGATGTAGCGGCAACATGGCATGATGTGTACCACCTTGTTGTTGTAGCGTCTGATGTGGATAGGTGAGACTGCCAACGCTCATTCCCAGTACGCCGCCGCTGCTCAGCGGTTGATGTTGCAGTATACGATCGTGCACGTTGACAATTGATTTGCCCGAACGTGTGAGCGAACGATCGTGTAGCAGTTTTCGTCGACGCTTCACGAAGCGCAAATAAAAAACAATGCTGGCGCCGATGGCGAATACAAGCAACAGCGTAAAGATCGCACACACAATGGTGACAATATGCGCGGGGCAAGTGATATCGCCCTCCGACATAGTCACTAGACGGCGGCGCGTGCGCACATTATCCTGCCAAATATCGCAACCAATGCGTTCTATGTCGAGTTGTAGATAGCCGCTACTGCTGCTGCTTACCCGTGAAGGCCTTTGTTGTGCGACATAAGCCTCCGCGGCTGCGGACGCTACATCGGCATCGGCCGTGCCTAGCGCGGCTACAGCAGCTTCCCCTTGACTGTGTGTAACATGCGCACCACTTGCGTTATTGGACTCGCCATCGAAATTTCCGGTAACCAAGCGCCATAACCAGAGTAGCGAGCAATTGCATTGCAGTGGATTATCGCCGAGATAAAGTCGCTCGAGCTGGTCGACGGGGAATTGTGCGGAATAGAGTGTTTGCAGACTGTTGCCTTGCATATATATTTCGAGCACATTGGGGTTGCCTTGGAATAGTCGCATGGGAATGTCATATAGTTGTAGGTTGTTGGTGAGATGGAGTGCTTGCAGATGTGTATTGTCGATGAAGGATCTGAAAAGAGTAAAAAAAAATCAGTAATAGCTTTACAACTTATTTCATCCCACAAATTATTTTTCTCATTTTCTATTATGTTATAATTTATCTAAGTATTATACGTGGTTAACCGTTTCAAAAGGGTAAAGGGTATTGAAAAAACATTTTTCTCACACAAACAACATACACATTTATTTACCAGATAATAATTTTTTAAATTAATTATTTAATTCCCAACTAAAGTTTTAAGCACTATTGAACAACTATATCATTTATCTGCAATAAAACGTACCGATCGAACGCATTTATTTGACAATATATCTTCACAAAATTTCGCAAAGCTTATTTCCCAAATCAACACTACAATATCTGAAGGGTACAGTCTCCAAAGAAATTGTTTAGATCGGACTACTGTAGCATATAGCTGTCATATAAGCTGATCGATCAAAATCAAGTTCTTGAATATAAACTTGTTTATTTGTGGAAAGTAATCGGTGCAGGGGAATTTAACATGTTTTATTGTTTTTATACTCATATTGCTACAGAGTATAATAATTTTGTTCATACAACGATTGTTTGTATCACCCAAGATTAATTGAGTTAGACATAGGGTTATGTACATAAATAAATGATCGAAATGATAAGATGATTTGAAATTCTGGTGACTGTCTGTCCGTGCAAGCTTAGCTTGTAAATAAAATATCTTGGCGAAACTAGCTCATGTAGGGCGTAATCGGACCACCGCCATGCCCACAAAACCAATTAAACAAAAATGTATGAAGTGCCATATCACTGAATTATGATATAAAACCTTAATTTTACACAGGGCATTACATAGCAAGAGGTACCTGCGCCCTCTAAAGGTTTAATGTACATATATTCTAAGCCATTTAAGGTACCACAACCAAATTCGTTCACGACAAATCTCTTAAGCACCTCTACCGAAACGATAAAAACGTACTCCCATATAACGTTTCTACTAAATTTTACACATAGGATGATACAAGCGGACTTTATAGAAGCCGCGGTAAAAATTAGACCATGAGCGTGACATCGTCCATATATCGGTGAAAATCTAGATCTCGGGACCTACTGGACTGATATCGACCAAATTTGGGAGGTAGGTTTAGTGGTAAGGTAATAACATCCATTTCAGTGCGAAAATAAGCGAAATCTGAAGACAACCGCGCCTGCTTCCAATATATTTAAATTGCATCTGATTCTATCATTTGCCAGTATACAAATCAAGCACCAACGAATGTATTCGGATGAAACTTTGCACGAATAGTGCCTTTGAGGTAAGCCACCTTATTATAAAAAATTGTCCATATTGGACTAAAACTATTCAAAGCCCCCAACATTTTATCAAAAATATCGGTCAATCTGTGAGATATACTATAGAAATTCGAAGATAATTCCATTTCTGATAACAATATGTCTGTATGTCAAAAAAGGGTTGATATCGATCGAAAATTCCCTTAGTCCCCATATACCTAAGGGAAAGATGTTCGAACTACCGGTTGAATTTATACCGCATATATCGGCAAATAAGTAAGATACCTTAGCAAAATTGACTGAATGCATAATTTCAATGACGAAAATATGTGAAATTAGTCTACAAATTACCCAAACTGCCGTATACTACACATAATGGTTTTCGATATTCTAACAAACCGTTTGAACCTGAAGGTATTTCCCTGGATTTGATCATGGCAAGTTGCAAGAGCATGAAATTTTCTATTACACCCGAACATAACCCTTTCTCACTTGTTATACTCTTGGAACATGTTACTACAGAGATAACAGTTTTGTTCATCTAACTATATAGGCTAAAAAATATATAAATGATCTTAATGACAAGACGAGTTGAATTCCGAATGACTGTATGTCCGTCCGTCTTTCTTCTTCGATATTCCAGTATACAAATAAAGCACCAATTACAATAACAGGATTAAATCTGCGTGCAGCCACTTGTAAAACTCAAATTGCTATGCAAACTAAAGATCTAATAATTAAAACACACAATAATGGAATGAAGATGCATACATAATAAAGGTGTGACACTAAATCTGCTGCACCTTGATTGCCACCAGCAAGTATTTGTTTATATGTGTGTGTACTGTATATGTGTATTCATTGCAAAAACTTTGTTGTTCGTGTTGTTAATGGCACTCTACAAATTTTATAAAATAAAATGAGATTTTTGTAAATTCTTTATTTGCTCTTGTTGTTGCTGCTCAAAGTTTTCTTGCACAATTCGCCTCGTTTTCTTAATAACATGAGAAAATATGTTGGAAATTAATTTCAGTTGCAAGAATGCTTCACTAGACTAAATTAATTGCCAGTGTGCATATACAGAGCACAAGTAGCGGCAGTAAAGTGTTAACGAAACGAGCAACAACAACGCAAGCAGTCGCAGTAGCAGTGGCAGTGTCAAGTGCAGCAACAGAATCATAGCGCATTGTTTCACGTACACACATATTTACAAGCACACGACCTATGTGACATGCACACACACATGCTTAAATGCATGGAATTTTGCTTCTCTGAGAAATCTCACTCTTAACTCTTTAAACTAATAAGGACATAGTAACAAATGACATTGCTGCTGCTACTTTGGCTCTATTGCAGCTAAAATTGTTGTTGCACTCCTACATTTGTTGTGTTTGTTGTTGTCCGTTGTTCGTGTCGTTGTCGTTGGCATGTTAAGATTGACGCATAAGCTAACTTGAAATTTTCTATATTTTCAATGTATTGTGTGTGTGTGTCATGGCTGCTCTGTCCTTGACAACTACAGTACCCATTCTTTGGGCTTCTGCTTATTTTATATTTGTGCGTAAGCTTGCATTTCCCTGTAGTTGTGTTAGCTGCCTGACGACATGGCGTAATGCAACAATTTCGTTGCAGTAAAGCCGAGTGGTAGCAGTTTAAAACGCTGCTGCGGAGCATGCATAGGCGATCTCACATTTATGCAGCTGCACAGTGGGTGCAAATATTGGAAAATTATGAAAAAAAAATAAAAAGGAAATACATACAAGTACATATATCAAAATAAACTCGAAGCAAGAGTAAATATTTACTTCGGCTGCACCGAAGCTATAATAACCTCCTAAGCTGCATTTCTTACAGCATAAAAGGATATAAAAAGATATTAAAAATATGTCAAAATACCGTGCCAATATGCGTGAAGATATCTTGTCAAATAAAAAATATTTCCATACCTACCATAAACACCTTGATTTTGATCCTTCAGTTTGTATGGGAGCTATATGTTAAAGTGATCTGATCTAAACATTTTCCCCAGAAGTTATACTATTGTTTTAAAGAATAATCCGTGCCACATTTCGACTAGTTGTCAAAAAATTTACCATACAAGAATTGGAATTTGAATATAAACCGCAAATAAATAAAAAAGTATAATAATAATACAAAATAATAATAATAAAAAATATAATGTAATATAAAATATACAAATAGTCAATCAGAAAAAATTAAATTAAATCAAATAAATTAAACAATTAAAATTTAAATGAAAGGAAATAAATTTACCTTAGCAAAAAAGTAAAATTAAAATTAAATCAAAAATTTAAAAAAAAACTACAATTTCGATTTTTTTAATAAAATAACTAGAATAAAACCAATAAAATTAGTTTTGTTTTTATTATATGTTACTTTTGTTACTAACTATTATAATTTTTCAATTTTACATTATTTTTTAATATTATAAAATTTTGAACAGATCCTTATTGGTTTAGTAAGTAGTTTTCATGTCTATAATTTTCTACACACCGTGCAGCATATCTGTGCATTTTACAGCTAATGCAGTTGACTTGCTGCCGCTTTAAGCAACTACATACATGCACATACAAAGGGCAACTAAAATATACATGCGTAGGTAGTGCTGCTTAAAATGCGACTTTTACGCAAAGCCGCTGAATGCCAACTTTGTCACTCATACGCCACGTTGCACATTTTCATTTGGCTAAAAGAGCGCTAAGGCAATTCATTTGCGGCAGGAATAAAAGGAAAGAGTGTGTATATTTATACCTATACTTTTAATGTAACATAACTGTGCTGCTTTATACCTTTAAGCAAACGCCATACAAGTATATATAAATATATACACATTTCCTCATGGCTTCCTCGTTTACGTGCGGCGAAGCTAAATCATTTCTTGCTTGCTTTTATTACGTTAAAATATACGACTTTAAATAAATCTTCATTCATCTACAACTGTCTTCGGAGACGTTGTCATGCGACATCTCAAGGACCTAAGTGTGTATTTCGAAGTGCTCAAAGTTTAAAGCGCATGTGTTTGCATGTCAGCTCTCTTTGGTTATCCCGGCGTTGTTGGCTCGTATTGCTAAGCAGCATCGTGTGCTGTTATGCGCATATAATATGTTGGTGTGTTTGTAGTAGTATGTAGTTGCTTTTACTCAACTAACTGTCTGACCGGTTGGCTGTCTTGATGTGGCTTTACTGGTTGCCACTGCCACTTAGTTTGATGAATTGCTGCGGCATAGTTCAGGCTAAAAAGCTGTTGGCAGCAACAAGCTGCCACACTGCAGGCGCAGCACTTTTGCTTGTTGCAACATATGTATAAATCTTTATATATATGCATAAATACTTTTATTTCATACATTTCTAACGCTCACCGATGAAGTTGCAAGTTGGTTGCAGCATACGACTGAGATCAGTTGCCGGCTCGAGGGGTTCACGTTGCAAGCAGATTTGCAATTTCCTGTTGCTTAATTAAAGTGTGCAATTTTAATGCGCAGCGTTGAATGGCATAAACTAAATAATAACAAACAACAACAACAAAAGGAAGACGGAAATAAGAAAAATGGTTCCCAACAAAATGCAAACCGAGCATAACGGAGAGCAGAAGAAAGCAGCTGCAAGCAGATTTTGCAAAGCAAGGGTAGGCAAATTAAATAAAAGAAATCTGCAAAGAGGCAGAGGTAATGGAACAAAGTGAGGCAGAAACGAAAATGTAAAAGCATTTGTAACAAACACAA